AGGACTTTCCTTGTGCCAGAACAGTGAGGTGCAGGTCAGCTGGGAGGTGGATCCCCGCAGTGTACAGCAGAGCTTTGGTTGCCTTTGGTGGTGAGCATCAGTGTTTCGTCTGCAGCTGTTGCCTTCTGTGGTGGTAAACATTTTGATCATTCAAAAGGCACAGCAAAAAGCTGACATAGGAAAATGTTTCTCTGCAGCTTGCCCTAGATTTGGAAAATTTATCATTTTGTTTACGTTTCTGGCTAATACTGGGTAGAAGGAGTAGAAGTTATACATTATGTAAAAAATAACAAACGATCAGAGGAGAGTGAGTACAATAATATCATTCATTTACTTCAGGTGGAGTGGGAATGCTCACCTGGTTGTTGGTGTGTCTAAAGGTCGCAAGAGACATGAGTAGAGAAGAGCTTTTGTTCTTTGTGCCAGGCTCATTTGTTCCTTTAATAAATGCCCAATTGCAATGAACGCTGAAGTCTTGAAGGGTAAAATACAGCTGTGTAGATTGGACATAATCTGATCATACAGTGTCACCAGCGTGATATCAGAGGCAATGGTGTGCGGGGGCGTAATTAAAATACTTTTTTAAAATGCTATTTTTGTATGCTTTCTTTAGTCATCGTATTTCCTTAGAGCAGTTAGTTTTACGTATTTGTTTTTTTAAATGCCCTAATTCTTAACACTGTAGTTTGGTTCTTTCATTGTTTAAAGGTTTTATTAGCTGCTGAGGTTCTTCCAGGGAGCATCTGTACAGCCTTGGGAGTTATTTGTATGTAACATCTCCCATAAAAAACAAACCTGTGAGGTCTGCAGATCCTGTCTGGGTATTGCAGTGATTTTATTGGCAGAGAGATGAAATAAATAGTTTCTTGTCTTTTTTTTTCTGAATACACAAAGTTTTGAAAATAGTGCCACATAAAAGAAACAGCTACATGTAAAGGTCATAATTAAAAATAAACTGCATGGACCTGCACTTTTTTCGGAATATGTTTGATGACAAAGGTTTGTGTGCTTCTAAACAGAAGACACTTTGGACATAGCTAAAGGACCTGCCTCAGTGCAACTCAGCAGCTCACTCAGCCAGGCTGATCCACTGCCCTGTAGGTGGTGTTCATTCAGCCTGCAGAAGAGGCTCTGGACCCTTGAGAGAAGGAAAGGCGTGCTGATCTGGGAAGAAAATGTCGTCTCTATTCTCTGTGTTGTTATATTGTAATGTCGATGGGAATCGAAAGGATAAAAAGTAAACTAAAAATCCTGTGGGCAACAGTGCCGCTTTGGTCAGGATGAACATGAGGATGGGCTGAAAACCTTATTAGCAGTCTTCTTTTTCCCATTATTTTCCTAGGAACTAATTCTGAGCTGCAAAAGGCAGCAGCAAGATGGCAAAAGGAGATGCTTGTAGGCTTAGTGGAGCTGGTTTGAAGGAATGAAAGGTGATTAAGCTGGATTAAGTGCTTTGCACCGTTGCTGCCCTTTGTGCTGTAGGAGGTAATTCTGGCAGGAGGCTGGGCTGCCCATGGCTGGGCATCATGCCTGGCCGTTCGCAGAGGCCGCTGGCTGCTGTCACACGCTGACACGTATAGCGTGCCTTGGATGGTCAGCACTTTTAGGTACCTTGCTCTGCGTTAGGGGCAGGACACAGAGAAATGAGAAACAGACCACTGGAACCAGTAGGTGAGGGGAGAGTAACTGGCCAGGCACGAAGGAAAACTGGTTCACATGAGAAGATGAGGTTGTTTTACTGCATTGAGGGAGACAATAGTTAACAACAGCAAAAGCTCTCTTTACTGCTGGAGGGAAGCAGGCAGGGAGAGGGTCAGGTAGTTCTGGGATGTCCTTTTGCCTCATAAATGCACAGGCATATACTGATTTTTTAAACAATCTGCCCTGCAGAGCACATTGCAAGATCAGGCTTGACCTAAAATACGAACAGGGTGGAAATGGTAATTGCAATATGATATTGCAAATTATTTGGCTCAGGTGCGGGTATGTCTTTGAGTTTCATGTTAAGTAAAGATGGTGCAGTGGGAGCAGAGTGCAGATTGCATAATTAAGATGGCAGCTTTCATTTTGTCCTGGGAAAGGACAAGCAATTACGTTTCTCCAGGAGAGTAAATATTCAAGGCTTCCCAGTGTCAGAGTAGCCTGTTTGGTTTAGTTGTGTATGTCTACAACCACCATGACTTTTAGAGGAGCTGTGATTAACTAAGATTACAGGAGATGTAATCAGATGAAGGGGGTGTTTGATATGTGGATTTGACCTGGGCTCAGACTTCTTACTTTGCATTTAATTGTTAAGAGCTGCAGTGTTAGTATTGCTGGAGGTCAGGAACGCGAGTCTGTTCCCAGGGTGGCCACTGATGCCGTGAAGCGCTGGTATTCCCTCAGAGGAATTCGGCTTTAGAGAAAAGCAGTCTGTGTATAACGCACCCTCTGCAGAACCAGGCACCTCACAGCCACCTGTTGAGAATGGACAAGCTCTGTGATCACAGTTGCTTTAAAAGGAAAAACAATTTTGAGAAAGCTTTATTAATTCCAGTGAAATGAAAATCCTGACTTTATGCATATGGGCTGTAGTTCGTTCTCTTGGTGTTTGGATAGGAACATACTTTGAAGGAGTGCATGTGGACCATGTTTGCTTGTCATCTGGTGTGCTCTACACAAGCCATTCATGTGTCTTGCGTGCCTTTCTTCATGCCATAATATTCCCTAACCTAGCTAAGTCAAAAGAATTTGGCTTAGATCTGAGTTTTCTTGAGGTAGCCCCTGATTTTGTATTTTGTCAGACTTAGTGAAACAAGCATTTGCCATCTGCCATAAGGTATCTGAGACTTCTTCATAAAATGGGAGAAACTAACAACTTCTCACCAGGTTTCAGAGTCAAGGCTGTGCATATCAGGTAACTGATGGTAAACAGTTGTAGTCCAAACACTTTTTTTTTTTTAATTCTGCTAATGTTCATGTACGTATTAGTTAGAAAGTTTGATGTTTTCCTTTTTCTCTTCAGATGACACTGGCTGCCCTAGTAGCCAGTCAGTATCTCCAGTTAAGACTCCTTCTGATGCTGGGAACAGTCCCATCAGTTTTTGCACTGGTAGCGATGGAGACATCTCCAGGAAGAAATTCAGTCCAGGGACAATGAGTGAAGGGAACCCGCAGTTGGCTCGATACAAGAAAGAGGCCAAGACAAGTCTCATAAAGCCTGGTGAGTATCATATAGGTCCTTTCACTTCTTTATTTACACTTTCTAATTTACTAGTCCATCTGCAAGTGTCTACATTGTGATACCAGTAATGCTGATAGTAAGTAAAAAAAATATTTGAGTTCTTTCTATGGAGCCACCTGCAAAATTTGAAAACACTATTGATATTAGCTTTTTCATGGAAATACAATTAATTGATGTCTTCACTTTCTTTTATGAGGCTCAATGGTGATGTCAAATAACAACTGAAGTGAGTTTTATCCTGTTTCATGGTAATTGCCCATACATTTCACAGACCAAAGGTAAATGGCTCTTACTATCAAAGTAAAGAATTCTAGTCTTTTGATGTTGTTAGGTTTATTGTTGGATCCTGCCTAAGGATCTATCCAGCTGATGGCTGCGATAGCTCTGGCGATACAACATGTCAAACTGAGGCAAGGTAACGGGCAGCCCACGTGTGGGAGTTAGGCAGATGGAGATCCATAACTGCACTGGCTGAACCAAGAGCATGCCTCCCGTTGCCTCAGACCATGGGCCATCTCAGACCACTAACTAGATCAGAGCCTGCTTGTCACACATCCACCTAAGGAGCCTGGTATGTCACTGGCTGGTCTAATTTTAATGAGTAGATATAAAATGGTTTTGTGATTCATCTACAGGCAGCTCATGATTACAATTGGTCAGGATATTTGTGCTGTTATTTAATTAATCATGGAGACAGAGAGGATTTTGACCCCGTCCAGAGCCAGCTGCAGAACTGACGTGCTTTTTGAGCTCAGATACCTCCTGGCTATACTGTTTCCAAAGTCATTTTACCTCTGGAAGCAATTTTGATACTTTCATGAGGAGCCAGCTCAGATTTACCAGCACCACGTTTAATCCAGAAACAGTAGAGAATCTGTTGCAAAAACTCTTCCCTGGCTTGGTCATGGAAAGGGCTGATTAAATCTGACTTACCACTATCCCTGCAAGTTCTTCAGCTTATTTCATAATGCTGTGTTACTTCAGTGTTCCCACTCTCCCATTGGTCTGCATAATGGATGACAGGTAACATTTTTTCAGGGTTTGTTTTCCGTTGCATTAAAACCATGGACTCTAAAGCAGGCAGAATGCAGTGAAATGGTGTGTGACAGTTGACTTGGCAGCCATGGCTACCATGACCATTTTGTATGTGAATATGGATGTAGCTTAGCAAAATATGGATAAATAATTTTGAAATTTTCTTTCTCTATTGAAGAATCCTGTACACATTGGACAGAGTTATGCACTTGTTTCAATAAATTATTTTGTTGTTTTCTATTATTACACTTAAATTGACCTATAATATCAAGTTACTAGCCTTTTGCGGTAATAGTCAGAAGTCATCTTCATTTTAGTTGACAGCATTATTCCAAGTCTTTGGATGGACTTAGTTTAGGTATTTAGGCATTCTTGTAGGTGGGCCATTCTGCAGCTGTCAGTACCTCTGCAGTGATTGGTCTCTAAGGCTAGAGAACTTGTGTCTAGAGTTCAAGCGTATCGCTCCTGAAACCCATCATAACTCTGAGAGCAGGAACCAGGTCTGATTTACAGAGTACTTCTAAGTTCCTCATGCCAAATATCTCACAGGTTTTTAGTGGAAGGTTGTCAAAAACCACATCGTAGTCAGTGTGAGAGCTGACACAGGTGAGGGACATTCCTGAAGTGGAGAGCATGCCAGGGGACAGCTGGGGTTCCTTTTCCTCACTGTTGGCCACAGGGCTTAATGTAATTCTCTCCCATTGGTATCTCCTAGCTTCAGATGGATCCAGTCCCTTCCCCATAATGTACTTGCGCATGAATTTCTGTTGACTCACTCAGGAAGATCTAGGCCTTGAGCAAGGAGGAGGCATCGTCGTAGCCAAACTCACAGGGAGTAACAGGGAAGCAGTAGAAGTAAGTGGGACGTGGGAGGAAGGTAACAGCAACGTGTCCTTGTTGTACATAACCTCGTTCTGCATACAGCCGGATACCTCAAACTACAAAGCAAAAGGAGTTGTGTGTAATATCTTTCTCTACCAGAAGCCCTTATGGATTTATGGAGATAATCTCCACTTCATATTTATCTGAAAGGTTTTGTGATAACAACTGCGTAGCAGGAGAGGCAAAAATGCAGCCTACGCTGTCTTTTGCAGACTCTGTCCTGCACTACATTTTTGTAGGCAAGTACATCAGTCAGTGTGCACCTTCAAAATGCCTGTATTTTGCCAAAAATTAATATCTGTTTCTGGGATTGTTTCGTTGGAACATGCGGAATCTCAGAAGTAACACTCACACCAATATTTGGATAATTCAGGAAATGTCTGAGTGGGATTGCACTGAGAATGAACCCTGGGATGTTTTTAAGCTGTTCCCAGGCTCCAGTGCTATTCTACTACTCTAGCAACTCCATCTTTATTTTCTGTACTTCAGAATACGAAACGCAACATAGCTTTTTTTTCTCTAGCAGCTTAAGACATTGTTATATGGATCTAAGTCATCTTCACCTCTTGAAGTATTAACAAACTAGATTTGGGTATCATTCATGATTTATGTTGTTTGCATAGTGAACCGTACTTAATCCTGGAACGCATTATCACTGCATCTTGCTAAACCTCTGAAAGATTTCTAATGATGAAGAAATTATTCATTTGAGGCAGCTGATGATGGTTTTTATTGTGCCTTAAATCTGAATCGCAGCAGTGTTATAGGTGACTTGTGCTTAAATCTGAGCCTACTTTCCCAGGAAAGGATGGAGAGGACAGGAACATTAAGGAAGATGTAGAACATTCACTTCAGGACAGAGTTACAAGCCTTTTAGTTTCAGGATTTTAGAAGTTTTTCCTTCTTTTGGATGTGATTTATTTATGCAACAGTAAAAGCAATAGATGATGTGTTGCGGAAAATGCCCTCACAAAAAGGCACAAAAAGCTTGGTTAACACTAGTCTTGGTTTTGTATCCAGATGCTGTGCTGAATCCTACAGTTTCTGTAACTGAATAAACAGGAGTGTAAACATTTCCACACACTCACATTCCTGGTGTACTCCTCCTGCAAACGTCCATCCTGAATTCCTGCAGCTCACATCCACATCTTGTTGAGCATAGTGGGAACTGTTTTTCTTTTTTTTTGACAGTCTTTCTCATCTCATTTTTTGACTTCCCTTAGAATGCTTAGTGCAAGGATTCAAAATCAGGATCTGCAAGCTGCAAAGTACTGATAAACTTCCAAAGACCTGTGGATAAAGAAGGGAATCTTGGACAAGTTGTGTCACTAACTTTTAAAAGGCTCGTGTGTTGAAAGTAACACAGGGATGTATTTAAGTTACTGTGAGCATCATAATTTGAGAAGGGCACCTGATCAGCTGCCAGTCTTCAGCATTTCTGGCAAAAGTTCTGGATTTACTTTCTTGCTTTTGGTGTCATGGGCACACTGAGGACAGTTTGCTGAATGAGCTGAGGTTACTGTTGAAGCTGTCTCTTAGAGCCCATGGAATTGCTGAAGTTTCAGATGAAATTGTCATTCACAGCTTATTTCAGTAAGAACCATTCCAAGTAGCAGCAGACTAGGCAAAAAAGTTATTATTTTTCACTGCTGATAAGACATCTGGCCATCTATTGCTGAATCTAGTTAAAATAGTAACATGTTGAGTTATACAGCAGTTGAACTGCAATGGATTGTCTTTCAAGAAGGGCAGTCATTGAGAACTCAGGCTATAAACTTCAGTCTGTTCAAATTAATGGGCAAATCTCAGAGGCTTTCACCACGTAGAACATCTACGTTTCTTGTGCAATAGGCAATGAGCAAAAGTTAAGGAACATGAAATTCCATTTGAACACAAGAAAACACTTTTTTTTGGTCAGACACTAGCACAGGTTGCCTAGAGAAATTGTGAGTGGAGTCTCTATCTGTGGAAGTTTTTAAAACTCAACTGGACATAGCCCTGGGCAGCCTGCTTCAGCTAGGCCTGCTTGAGCAGGGAGTTGGACTAGTCTCAGGAGGTCCCTTCAACCTCCAGTGATTCTGTGATTCTGTGTTGTCTGGGCTATTTTTCCTTATAGTAGTGCATCATCCAGATCTGTGGTTCGGTAGTTGCAAGGCACAGTTTGTGCTCTCCTGCTCTGCCTTTCATGTCTATGTACTACCATTTCACTTACAATGAGTTCGTAGAAAGGAAAGAATTAAAAAATTAACTTTTAGCATCACTATTTAATTGAAAACGTCACTGAACTTTGAGCCATTGTAAGTGGCGGTGTTCTCCACATGTGTTGCCAGTATGAACTTCTCTACTTCTTGATGGTGAATTTGTCACTTCATGAATGAATGAGCCTTGGGTTAGGATGGCCCAGGCTGAACACATGAATCTTTGAAGGCTTTAGGGCTATTAGAGGTTTTAGGAGAGACAGGTGGAGCAGATTGTTTTGGAATTAAATTGGTTGTGAGTACGGTGTAGGTGCGGGTGCTTCTTGAGTCAGCATTGGAGCTGGTTGTAGTTAACAAAAAGGAGGCAAGGAAAATACCCTGTCAATTGGGAATGTTACAGTTAGAGCTAAAGAAGCCAAACAGATTAGAGAGGAAATGGAAGTGTTAATCTGCAAATTATGTCTTGCTTCTAGAAGTGTCTAGCTGTTAAAAGGTGATGCTCTGATTTTTTTGTATTGTCTGGTGTGTGAGGATGAGATTCCCAGGATACTAAATGTCCTTAGGAACTTACTTCTGGGGGCACTTTGCGCAAGCAAAGAGTAGTGAGTAGTTAATCCATTAGTATAAAATTAGCAGATAAGTTTATCCATGTTGCTACTCTACTTCCATATGTGTCTATAGAATCACAGAATCATAGAATCATAGAATGGTTAGGGCTGGAAGGGACCTTCAAAGGTCATCTTTGGTTGTTTTAAAACAGAAAACCTCTAGTTTAGGTGATATTGCTGACATCTGGCTGTCTGATTTTATACATCTTTTGTTATTTCGTTCCCTCTCTTCAGTATGATAGTGTGGGAATAACAG